ACATTCATAGACCTAAATCTAGGGATTAGAATGGAAGTGGATGGCTGAAAATCCTTGGATAATACCAGACACTAAACGGAATTTCACTTTCCCAGTGGTATTTCCCTCTTGACAGCACTAGTCTGTGTGCATGTTTTTCCACCTCTAATATTACTGTTGTGGAGCATTCTGCAGCTGTGTTGAAGTTATTCATTTATGTGGTTTGGGCCAGTTTCTGAGAAACAGGCAGAACTAGAGAGCAGAAGAATCCATCAATGTTAGATTTGAACAAAGAAAATTATGATCTTTTGGACTTGCTGTCTACCACGTTGCCAATATAGATAGAAAAAAGAAAGGATAGAAATGATATGGGTACAGGGGAGTTATAGAGAGCCCTAATTTGCAGGAAGGAGCCTGGGGGTGGGGAGAATCCCCCAAACTCATTGACTTGTAGTGTCTATTCCTTGGGGTTTTGTCTAATTGGTTTCCTTTATGTGTTATTTCTGTGGTGGTTTTCTCTTTTTCTAGTTTTAAAAAATAATGTCAAAGACTTCTGAAAACAGAACATTTCGCTCATGTGAGGTCAATTTTTTACACTTTTCAAAAAACAAGGGTATGTTTGGTCATCTTGGTAGTATTTGGAAATGCATATTTTGTTTGACATTATTTGTGAATTAGATTCTTCCTCCTCAGAATAAGTGTAAAAATGCTTCCATATGTTTGAAGTTGGTTTCATCATTTTGCTAAGAAGGAAAAAGGAAGAATGTAGTTTATAGCAATTTTCATGTGAATACATATTTAATAATGGTGTTTCCTCAAAGTTAAAACAGCTTTTCTACTGCTTCACTATGCTACTAAAGTTAAGAAGATAATATCATTTGTTTCAAAGTATTAAATTGTAATTGAGATATTTTTTAATGTGATGAAACTAAGCTATATTTTACTATTTTGATTTCTTACACAAAATACGATCTTAGGTGAGGATCTGACTTTAATTTTTTTTCCCAAATAGCCACAAATCACATAACATCATTCAAGAAATGCTTCAGTTTTTCATATACTAAATTCTTTTCCATGTAATAAATTCTTATATGTAACTTGAAAAAAAAATCTATTCCATAGCCCTCCTTACTAATTCCTAATCTCTCTACGAGTTCCTAAGATCTCCTTTCTAGTTCCTAGGAATGTTTTAATAATTGTGAGTTTTATGGTATATTTTAATATATGGTAGAGCAAACAAATGTCTCTTCATTATTTCAGTTTTAAGGAATATTCTTGGCTTCTTCTAGATGATTGTTAGAATGATTTTGTAAAGTTTCAAAAATATCTACTGGGATTTTTTAAATTAGAATTTCATTAAACCCATAAATTAGTTTAGGGAGAATAATTGATTTTCCTATCCAGGATCATGGTAGGTCTTTTCCTTCATTCAATTTTAAAATATTTCTCTGTAAACTATAATATTCTATATAAGGGTCCAGTCTATTTTATATTTAACTATAGATTTTATGGATTGTCTTTGAGGGATGTGGGGTAGGGTGTGGGGGGAGAAAACATTAGCCTTACTTTAAACGTTCCTAACTCTAGTTTTCCCATTCTTTTTATAATGCTACTTTTAATAATGGAAAGTTACTTAAGAACTTAATTATCAACCTATAGCAGAACAAACCATCCAATGCATATGAGGATCTCCAGATTATAGTACCATAAAGAACCAGTTTCCAACTTTTAAAGACACCAAATTAGATGTGTTCTTAATTGCCTATCCAGACCCTTTTAGCCAAGCAGGACATTAATGATTTTTTTTTCCTCCTTATTTTCTTTTAAATGCATAGCTGTTATCATCAGTGACTATTTATTTCAAGTTCTTTAAGGCATATTCAAGAAGATTGGAATACATTCACCAACATCAGCATCAAAAGTCTGTTCCTGGGTTGCCCATCTTGGGCAATGGCATTACTACAATTAAAACTTGGGGCTCCTCTCTTTTACCTCTTGCCCAACTCAGACTCACGCACCAAATCCTCTTGAGTGCTCCACCAGTGTTACTCAATGGGTCTTTTATCATTTTCACATTTCCAAGCATCCCCTCTCTCTGCGGTCATCTCCTACCAGTTTGTCCACACCAGCACGTTTCAGCTTGACCCAGCCAGAGTGATCTTCCTGACACTCAAATCTGATTCCCCTCATTTGTTTAAAAACAGGATAAATCCAACAAATATACATGAAAAGAGCCAGCTGTATTTTGCAAATTATGTTGGGTACTAGTCATACAAAGATAAATAGGAGCTAGACTTGTACCTAGTTATTAAGGGATAAAGGCCAGACTTGTTAGCATCACAGCCTAGCAGCTAGTGACCTGACCAGTCTGACTTCCTGCCTATTCCCTTACCTGGCTCCTGACATCCAGTCAAGATGGACTCCTGAGAACACACTCACCTTGACTCTACCTTGTTTTGCCTCTTCTTTATGACAAAATCTTACACTTCTTTCAGTGCAAATTCAGTGTCATGTGCGATGTGAAGCTTTTCTCAATGTTTATCTCTCTTCTAACACCATAGGGTATAGAGTTAACTGCTCCCTTGACTGCTATCTCTGAGTAGTCAGTTTGTACCAGTAATATAGCACATAGAAACTCTGATAGCTGACTGTCTCCATGTCTCTCTTCTTGGCTTTTTTATGGCGGTCGTCATGTAGCAGAGGCCCTGGGTCAGTCACCTTGATACCCTGCATATTCTCTTACAAATAGGCACTGCAATGCTCAAGTCTGAGAGGAAGCCAACAAGCAAAGGTGCTCAGGGCTTTTTTTTCTCTTTTTTGGATGAATTGGTAGTATTTTCTCAAGGCAAAAGTTCAACTTATTTTTTGCATCTTAGAGTTGTACTGTACTTCCCGGCCTCGGTGAAAACAGCTTGGAGGCAGCATAGGATCCTAGAAAGAGGGTCGGATTTGGAGTCAGAGAACCTGGGTTTAGTCCACAGTAGCTCTATGAATTTGAGCAAGTCTTGTAACCTCCACGAGGCTTAGCCTCCTCCACTATAAATTAAGAGTATTTACTACCTACCAGGTTGTTTTGAGGACTATGTGAAATTATACATACAAGAAGCCGAAAAGCATTTTATAATGATAGAGCACTATAAATGTCAGTGTTATTTTTATTATGGTTTTTTATATGTAAATGAAGACAGTTTTACATAAAATACTTCTATTTTGGAAATACTCCGGCTGGCATTTATCGCTTTGCCTGGTCATGCCCTGCTTCCCCAGGAGTGCTGCTAGGAGGGGTGGCCTGACTCCATAAAAATGGGCTGTTTGGGACGTCTAGAGCCACTCCTTCTCTAGCCAGTGGGGAAGTCAGTAATCTGTATAATGGAAGCAATAATATCCACCTTCCTAAGCAAGACCGTTTTGAGAATTATAAGAAATAACACGTGAATGGCTGGTACTAAGTAGGCACTCAATATATGTTACATTCCCTCCAATCTCCATTTACGTGTTGGGCTTGCCCATCAAACCTTGCCCATCAAACCTGATCGCCCTCATGTTCCATTTCCCGTATTGCTCCTGACGGCTGAATGGTGCTGGAGAAGAAAGACCAGACCATCCGGATAAGAGCCACGCTGCCCGCTTCTCCTCTCCTTCTCCTCTCGTCCGTGCCCTCTTATCCCTTGCTCTCCTCCCCTTCTCCTCTCCCATTCTCTTTCTCCTGCCCCACCCCCATCCCCCTCCTCTCCTTCCTCTTCATCTTCTTTCATAAACTTCACTCCTATGCTGAGCAGCAGTCCTGGCATCCTCTCTCTCACTTCCAGTCCTGCAAAAATTAAGTGCTTTTCCACATCATGGCAAAGCAGAGCCTCCGTTTGGGCAGCATTTGGCAACCCCTTGCCGTGCCTCTGCCTGCAAGATTGTGCCGGCACAGGGTAGGAGAGGACCTTCTCGACAAAACACCCTCTCGCTTCCCAATGGAAGAGTTTTTTGGTTACGAAATACTGAGGGAAGATTGTTTCTGTCTGTAGAAAAGTTCCCTTCCAGGGTCTCAGGGTTGAAGGGAAAGTCTTAAAGACCTGAGATACTCCTTTTGATTTCCCGCCTCTGCACGGTAACTCTCTCAAATAGTAACAATAGCCATGGCAGCACATGGCCTCAGAACGTGAGGATGGGGAGAATGGAGGGTAGTAGATAATTGAGTCATTCACAGACCTGCAATTTATGATACCCTGCGGCATCTGTGGGGCCTTAGAGCTTCCTCCCAACTCTTTGGTTCTGGTAGGTAGAACCTCCAGGAGCATAGGAGGCTGGGGAACTAGTAGCAAGGCTTTGCTGTGTGTTTTGAAAGAAAACAGGTCTGTTTTCTCTTTTGAGCTGAGTAAATGTCAGATGACACTGCTTAGCTGCTTCAGAAATAGATTTCTCTATGCTATATGTAAGTGATGAATCACTAAATTCTACTCCTGAAACTAATATTATACTATATGTTAACTAACTAGAATTTAAATAAAAACTTGAAACATTAAAAAAAAAGATTTCTCTGTGTGGTGCTCAGGTTTCTGGCACACCACACTCGGGTATGGCAGCCCATTACTGGGGCATATTTGAAAGTGCTTTATGCTTATATAACTAAACTGGGTTTTCCCATGGTCTTTTCAGAAGGCTGAGGTTTTCAAAGGCTCTATTGAGTCACCATCCTTGGGAAATGTTAGAGTTTATTTGTTTCCTAGCAGATTTCAGAGTCCTTAGAGAATAGGAAATGAGAGAGAGGTTTTGTGCATGGGGAAAGTGATGTGGAAACCATCAGGTATGGGCTTGGGAAGACAGACATAGACAGCATGCTGTATTGGGGTCTTGATTTCCAGATGGTAAAGGATGTGTGAAAAGCTGAAAGTATCCTTACCTTCACCTTCTGTACAGTTTAACTTCCAGTAGCTCTGGATAGACCTTGATTGAGGCTGTGGGCTCTTAGCCCAAGGATTGGCCTAATCTATACCTCAGCTTATTTTATTTGTTCTTTCTGTTCTGTACAGATTCATGAAGGTGGCAGGAAGCACAGTGGATGCAGTTACCTGGCAACAGTAGGTATTCACCATTTTTGCTCTTACTTATTATAGCTACTGCGAAATGAAAGATAATTAGCTGTTATGAACATTATAGCTGACATCTAATAAGCTACTCTTTATCCTCGAAGAGAAAAAGTCAAAACTAACTCCAAAGCTGTTCTTGTGGTGCATACTGTCTCATAGTAATATAGTTTTGTTTTGTTGTTTAAGTAAAACCCAAAACAAAACAAAAAAACCCAAAAGCTCAGCTATTATGTATACTTTTAAATTAACCTGTCATCAGTGAACAGGTAATGGGAATATGAGCATGCCATCACTTACCCGTAAGTTTTCCTTGGGAATAAATTTCCTTAAGAGAGGAAATAGTTTTAATTACTCAATGTATCATGTGAAAATAACACTTTATTATAGTAATGGCAGTGGTCTTAATTAGTGCCAAGAGTGTTACTAATATGAAGCAATTAAAAAAAAAAAAGGAATATGAAGGGAATGAAGCAGCCACAAGAGAAGATAAACCCTAGTATTCCAGGAAGAAGCTTATAGTGGCAAAGACCTGTTAACCTAAGGGTAGCTTGATTTGTAAAGATAATTATCTGATACATAAATTAATTTTCTTTAAGTTTCCTTATGGTATTGGTGTTGGAATGTGAGCATCTCACAATGTCTCACCAATTTTATACCAGAATCTTGCCCTTCCTTTTTGTAAGAAATCTACCCCATAGCATCTTCTAAGTCGTCTTTCATCTAATGTAGTCCACACAGCTCAGACATGTGCTATTCTGGGCCCTCATAGCTGTCAAGTATGACCACCTCACTCAGTAACTCTAACCCTGCCTGCCTAGCACATTTACTTCTCTTCTCTGTCCTCCATTTTAAGTGGGTCACAGTATCCCTTGGGATTCATGACAGTTGTGAAAGAAGCAAGAGCAGTGGATGAAATCTTTATTAACTATCCCAAAAGGATTTTTGGTTGTTGGCAATCAATAACTTCAATCATAATGGAAAATATTTTATTATGCATTTATACGTAGTTTCTCTAAGCATCATTTTAAATGTTTCCAGAAATTCTTATCCTTCCTCCTTCAGTTTGTTTTGTGAGTCATGGATGAGTAGATCTAGAGATCTTGTCATTCCCATGCTTAAAACCCCTCAGTGCCTTCCCTTTGTACTTAGACAAAAGGCCAAACTCTACTCTGGCCTATAAGGAAGGTACTTTGTGTTTGGCCTCTGCTACTGTATGATCATTTCTAGTGCCACCCTGACCTTACTCATTCTGTCCCAACACACTAGTGGTCTTTTACTTTTTAGAAAATTCACGTGCATGTCTGCCTCAGGATCTTTGTAAGTGCTATTGTCCCTGCCTGGAATGCTGTTATCCTCATTTTTTGTGTGGCTAGTTCCTTCTCATCTCTAAAGACTCAGCTTACATGTTATCTCCTTTGAGAGGCCTTCCATGCTGGTCCTAGCTAACACAGACCCCCTTTTTGATTCTCTTTCTTAGCTCTTTTCTTTCCATGCTACTTTACATAACTTATCATTACTTTACCAAACTTATAATTATTTTTTTTCTCTTAACTTGTCTTTGTAATTTGTGTGTTTTTCTCTTCCACCAGAATAGCACTTAGTCAGTTCAACAAGTACTTATTTAGGCAATTGTTTACTGAGCCTATACTATGGGGGAAAATAACAGCAACGATGAAACTCTTTGCAGGAACTGTTGCAAACCTTGTCTGCCTTACTGTATCTGATGCTCACAACAACCAAATGAGTGTGGGACTAGTTTTATCTCTTGCATAACTTAAAGGAAGTTGTAGAAAATCCAAACATTACACAGAAAGTGGTAGATTTTGGACTTAAAGTTGAGTGTGTCTCACTCCAAGGGCTATCCTCTTAACTGTTAACTACTTTGATAATAAGACAATGATTTTTTGCTGAAAATATTACATTCTACTAGAGCAGTTCAAATCCTCTTCAGTGTCTTTCATCAAAGGCTATCTGGATAACGTAACATAAAGGCTGAAGCTTGAAGAATTCCTAGTGTTTGTAAGGAGAAATAAAGAGATCAGTGTATGAAAACTATTGGGTAAGAATGTAAGACTTGCTCAGTTATTATGACTGACAGGGAGGGATCAGAAAAAGTTTTTCTTCCATATTCAAGCACTCCATAGCACAAATGGAATGAAGTAAGCCCAGTCTTTTTTTATAATGGAGAAATAAGACTTTTATAAATATATTTTATTAGCTATTTTTAAAATATTGGCCACCTCTCAAGATAAATGTCATGTGTTTGCAGCTACTCTAAAAATACCCCCCAAAGCAGGCAAGGGATTGTGTTTCTTTTGGCTCCAGGATCAGCACTCATTTGGGGACAACCAGTAGCACCTGGAATCTACCATTTACCCCTTCCAGCCACAGTTTTCAATCAAGACTTGGAATAGTCATGGAACAATTCCAGGAAATCCTGGCCAGGAGGATTCAGTGAAAATTAAAGCCAAATACCATGTTTCTCTAAGCCTGAGAAATGCTGAGGTGAACTTAATGTAAAGAAATCAAGAGTCAAAATCAGAAAAAAAAGAACACAGAATTTGTCAGTAAATATCTATGTATAGGTAGCCAAAAGAATCAATTCAGTACAGGAGTACTGAACTTGGAGCTTGAACAACAAGAACTCTGAGTCTGAAGTAAAAAATAAATAGGTCTATACAGTTAGACTACTTTGATTTGAAATTTCATGCTCTTGGGTTTTGAGGACCAACATACATGACTTAATGATTGGTCCTGCCCAATCCATGCAGAAAACCCAGCAAGAGTTAGTGAGATGAAGTTCCAATTACAAGAGTAAGTAGTACAGTAGTTTGTATCAGTTATCAATGATAAATCTGGACCAAAAAAAATAATACACACACACACACTGGAGAATGACCAAAAAGTGGCAAAAGCTGGAGAAAGTTATTCAGTCCCTGAAAGAAGTGAATGATGCTAGTGAGATCTGTGGTTACTTAAGAATCTATGCAGTATGATGTGGCTAGAACTCAAACAAAATACATGGTTGTATATTGGTTTGAGGTCTCAGAAGGAGTCAGAAGGTAGAAATCTCAGAAAGAAGGAGCTATGGGCAAAACACCAAATATGCACATAAACTTCCTTCAAATCCTTGCCTGATCCCTGCAATGTGCATATTCAAGGGAAACCCCAAGGAGCCTGGTAGAAAATAACAGCTGGAAATCTGAAAAAGTTGAACAGCAATTTCAGCTGCTGTCTGTCACATGAGGGACAGAGATTGGAACTTGAATTTCACAAATTTAGAGGGACTTCATAAACACCTTGTGCTTTCCAGTGAAAACTAAGAGTTATGCCTCAGGAGTAAAGTCTTATCCTGGGACTAAGGATTTGTCCTAAATCTAATATATAACCAAAACAGATTCACCCTAACAAAGTATAAATGGAAGCTGCCACAAGAACAAGATGATCAGTCATTCATCCAACTTCCTGCTATATCCAAAACCAACACTCTTCTGTCTCTATAAAATATCATCTACACTTTGAAGTACATAATTAAAAAATTACTAGCTATGCAGAGAAATAGGAAATTGTGACCCATGGCCAAAAGAATGAGCAGTAAGTAGAAACCCTGAGATGACCTAGGTAATAGAATTAGTTGACAAGAACTTTAAACAACTGTTGTAAATATATCCAAATAATTAAGGGAAAATGTTTGTATTGAGTGGATACATAGGGAAAGATCAGCAGTGAAATGGAAACAATATATATATAAAATAACCAAATGAAATTTTTAAAGAAAAAAAAGAAACTGAAACAAAAAACTCACGGGGTGCACTTAAGAAATTGGAAACTATAGAAAAAAAGGGTTATTAGTGAACTTGCAAATAGATCATTAGAAATTATACAATTAAAGAACAGAGCAAAACTGCTAGGAAGAAAATGTTCAAAGTTTTAGCAACCTCATTGCTGATATCAAGATGTCTAACATTTGTATAATTAGAAATCAGAAGGCAAGAAAGAGATAATAAAGCAGAATTTTTTTTTGAAGAAACGAAAGCTGAACTCCTCTCAAATATGATGAAAAACATTAAGTTATAGATCCAAGAACCTAAGAAAACCCTAAGAAGGATAGAGGCTCCTGGGTGGCACAGTCAGTTAAGCATCCAACTCTTGATTTTGGCTCAGGTCACAATCTCAGGGTGCTGAGATCAAGCCCCGTGTTGGACTCTGCTCTCAGCACAGAGTCTGCTTGAGATGCTCTCTCTCTCTCTCTCTGTCTGTCTCTCTCACAAAATCAATCAATCTATCTATCTATCTTAAAAAAAAAAGAAAGAAAGAAAAAAGAAAGCCCTAAGAAAAAGAAATACAAGTTAAATCACGCCTGGGTATATCATAATCAAACTGCTGAAAACAAAGGGTGAGGAAAAAGTCTTCAAAATATTCAGATAAAATCATACTTTACATACAGAGAACAAAGACAAATTTTGGCTAACTGGACATCAGAAGCAATGGAGAATAGAAGACAATGGAACAAATCTTTAAAGTGCTAAAGCAATGGAGAATAGAAGACAATGGGTACTAAGGAGGGCATGTACTGCATGGAGCGCTGGGTGTTATACGAAAACAATGGATCCTGGATCACCACATCAAAAACTAATGATGTATTGTATGGTGACTAACATAACATAGTAAAATGAAAAAAAAAAAAAAA